AAAAGGGAGCCCAATCTTTTACGATCATGATTGTAATGGCTATGCCATTCTAACCAGCACGGGTTGTTGATCTAAAGATGATTGTCATCGTCAGTGCTACCGAGCAACTCATCTTTCTTCAAAGTGGTAATCATTAGCTATAACTGTGATGGCTCGAGGTATTGTCTCAATGACTGCTCGTCCAACAAAGAAAATTGGAGCATGGGTACCAATTGCTACAACAGTAATGCACAGTTGAACCACTGCGCATTGTTTAGCGATGCCATTGTGTGTTGTGGTGTGACACACTGGATATCTCATCATCATGGAGAATGGTGCCTTCATGTCATCAATCGAAATGCGCACACCGGCCAAGTCTCCTTGACGATGCGCCCTTTCAGGGTGAACTTCAACCCCACCAGTCATGCATTCCTTACTTCAGGCATCAACGGAATGCTATCAGTGCTCTGGATGCAAAAGGGAGGTCCCCAACTAGAGATGTGGGAACAATGGGAGCACCCCAAAAACATGAGCGGTACTTCAAAATGGTTATGTACCGGAAAGATCGAGCTAAGACGACCCGGTAAGGACAATGAAGGAAAAGAACTGTGTGTCTTGATAAATAAGTGTGGCACAATGCTCATCAGCGACAACTTGTCCCGTGTTTACACAGTCGACCTTGAAACCGAGGCGATGGAGGAGCTGGTGGATTCACCTCACACACACTCCATGTGCCATTGGTATTCCATTCCCTTGGACATTGATTGGCACACGTTCTTCATTTCTCGGCTTACGAGGTATAGCTAACCATTCTCATATATATACATTTTTTGGTCTATTTGGCAATTTATGTTGGGTAAATTACCGTGCCAGAGGGTTGATGAACCGCGTTGTTCCGGTTCAACTCGTTCTTACAACATTGAATGTTTGGGTGTTAATCATGTTTTTTTTGTATTTCTTAGAGTCCCCACGTGTCCCCTCTCATCTACTAGTGGTGAGACATGCATCTCCACTGAGGAAGAGGCGCAAGGGCACCGTAAAGGGTAGTTACACGGTGGCATATAGAAGTAGTGGACGACATGGTCTACGGAACTAAATTCACCAAATGAAACACGCAAAACTCAAGAGTATATTTCTTTTGTACGATTTGCTATGTTTAGACTTGCATTTCCGAAATCATCAACTTTAGCTAACTTTTAATCCGTAGTTTATATACGGTGTTACGTGAGTCATTGGATGTTGAACAATTGCTTAAAAAGGGGACCAACATAAAAGCATTCCTGCCAACCTATAAGCGGATATACTCCAAATATATCTTTTATGCTTTGAGTATTTCGCTGCCAGTATTTCCCTAGACCTCAACCACCAGAAGCAGTTGCAGATCATCGATGTAGATACTTAGGTACTCTATTGAAATCTAGGAAAAGTTTCAAATAAGTGAACATTTTTCTCAAAATCTATAATTTTTTTGCAAATCTGTGAACGCTTGGGCCGGCCCAATAGGCACCTGAATGGGCGATGCTGTCGCCTAGTTGGGCCAAGGCCTAAGCATTTTCTTTATTTTTTATGTTTTCTTCTATCTTTTGGTTAATTATCTTTTTTCTATTTTCAAATTTATTATTCATTTTTAAACCTGTTCAAAAAAATTTAAAAATTGTTTGGAATACCAGAAAATGTTTTATCTATGTTCTGCAATTTCGTAAAATGTTCTTGTTTTTCAAAAAAAAAAAGTTATCAAATTTAAAAATGTTTGCATTTCGATTTTTTTTAAAAGAAGTAAGTTGTTTGCAATATTTGTTCAATAATGGTATGAATTGTTGGGGTTTATGAACAATTTTGGAAAAAGTGTTCAAGTTTGTAAGATTTTCATACATAATTTGAAATTCCAAAATTGTTGACAAATTTCAAGAAATGGTCGGGACATAAGAAAATGTTCATGTTGATTGTTAATGACGGAAACTGCAAATAACACAGGCATACAAATTAGGAAAAACTACATGCTCACGGATGCACCGGTCTGGCATAGTCTGGCACACTCCTCTCAACTGGTGTTTTTTGGACAATGGATAAATGGCCCCAACTTCATAATGACTGCCTGACATGGATATATGAGGCATCCATGCTAGGTTTGAACGATGTGTGACACCATATGCAGGTTGTGACGTCCGACCATTAATCTGCCTTTATATACGGTGTTAGTTGAATCGTCGGATATGGATGAATGGCTTAAAAAAGGGACAAGCATAAAAGTATTCCTGCTAACCAATAAGCAGATATACTTGCAAAATTTCCCTTTTATGGTTTTACTATTTCGCTGCTAGGATTTCCCTGGACCTCGGCCACCATAAGCCGCTGCACATCATCGATGTAGAATTTTAGGTACCCTATTGAAATTGTACAGTTTCATGGGAGCAATTATTTTTACACCGGAGTTTGTAATACGGTGTGAGGTGGAGATGTGGATTCACTGAACGGTGGTGATCTGAGGGACACCCTTGAGGCCCCGTTTGGATTAGCGTTTTCTTTGTAATACACCTGTAAAAGAAATACACGTCTCCACCGGTCGGTTTCATTTCCAGCCGGAAAACAGTCATGCCCAGTAAAATACACTTGTAAATCTTACACCTCTGTATTGAATTACACCTATACCAAGCGCGCCCTGAGACTGGAGGACTGGTCAGGAAGAAGTGTTCGCTGGGACGGCGCTCTGTTTGCCTATGATGTGAAGTTTCTGAATGTTCTACCTGAAGTTTCTGAATTTTCGGCCGGACATACTCTGAAGAAAAGTTTGTGATAGAAAAAAAAAACGACCACAGTGGGAGTCGAACCCACGACCTTCTGATCCGAAGTCAGACGCGCTAATCCACTGCGCTATGCGGTCATGATTTCAGCTCTACGTTCAAAGTCAATAAGTGCACAGAAATGTTTTTAGAAGTCTAATGGTTTTAGCGATCCCAAATGAGATATCTGAAACAAGAACGTACTGCTCCGGATCATAATCGTTCAAATACACATACACATGTCAAAGTGCAAATTCAGAATGCAAAAAGGGAACGAACAGTGCATTCTGAGGTCGATGCACAGCTTGCAAGAGGAAGAGTCCAAAGCATACATTTTGCTTGATATGCAGCACTGGTGGGCCAGGCTAACCCACCGGTTAGCTAACACAATTAACAAGCTTAGGCCGGCGGTTAGGTAGCAGTGTAATTTTTAGTGGTGTCTTTTGCTCTGTCAATTTTTATATATGTACCTCGAGCTGCTGATCGATCGATGGGTCCATGGATGGAGCTTTCCGAGTGATGGAGCTGTGTACGTGGTACCAGTGTAGTTTAGAGCAAACTAAAGTAGCCCGGTGTGCAAGTAGTAGTATATTTTTGGGCATGGACCTACTACCTATATTGCCTTGATTTCCCTGATCCATCCATCTTATCGTATCAATTAATCATGACACCTCCACCCAAATCCACCAAAAATATCCTAGCTAGATAAATCCCTGTGAAAGGGAAACAAGTTTGTTTTTCTACATCACAGTAAGTTTTATAGATATTACGTTGACGTCGAATTGTTTTGAAGTTGTGGCCATAAAATTCCATGGGATTCCGTATTAGCCTGATCGTATTTTGTTTATGTTAACACATGGAATTAGACTTTCTTCTTCTTGCTGCTCTTGAGGTACTGCATGGCTAGTGATGATTTAAATCATCTTTGAGGGTTTAGGTGTCTTGGCTTCTGCACCATGCAGCTGCTAGTGATCGATGGAGAGAATAATATATATACATATATATATCAAAAAATGTGATACATCTTATCTTTGCGGTTGATCAATCCATTCATCTAGAAAAATGTCCACAGGAGCAGAAATGCAGAATCAAAACATGAATGCACCACTCTCCAATAAATAAACAATGAAAAACATGCCAACACCAGGATAAGTTCGAAAACTCATGAAATGTTTTCTGTACATTGGCAATCGCTTTGACAGCAAGGTAGTCATGTAGAGCCCCTCTCAGTGTGCATATACTACTACGTACAGTACTATCCAAAGGAGTAGTATATATATTTTGGTTTCGGACCTACTTTAGGCTTTGATTTTGCTGGTCGATGGGTCGATCTTATCGTATCAATCATGACACCTCCACCCAAACCAACCAAAATCAATTAAGAAGCACGAATGAATTCCCTGCCGATCTCTCCGATAGGGAAATAAGTTGTTTTTCTCAATAATATATGCAAAGTTGACGTTGAATTAAGCTTGGTGGCCATGAAATTCTACGAATTCGTCATTTGTTTACTGGTACCTACCTTTGTCGTCAACTTGGAAGAAGAATTTCGTCCTTGACTGCCGCACGTCGATGTGCATGGCTAGCTAATGACGTGTCTTTGCTTTTTCGAGAAAGATGAGGTGTATGTGATAGTGGTGAGAAAGAACTCTGAGAAAGAGGATACTTATATAAGCATAATCCAAAACCAAAAATGTCATCTTAATCTGAGAAAGAGGATAGTTATCTTAATCTGTGGTCGATCGATCGGTCTCACTCCCAGCGGAACAGAATCAGAGCAGCTAGCACGGCTCTCCACTAAACAATTACAGTATAAGCAGGACGGCACCACCAGGATATGTTCGATTCTACACTTTCTTCCCCCACTCACCTTTAAGTTTCCCTTTTGTTTTCTCCCGATATTTTGGTTGCGTTCCTCCCTACGCGTGGCTGAATGCACCATCTAGCAGTAGTACTCGTATGCAGTATGTTTCGAAATTCAGACAAGAAAGCAGAGCAAGGTAAAAAATAAGTAGCAGTAGTAGTACTAGGAACTGTGGTACTCCAGTAATATATCTCAATTCAGAGTACAAGCATATGGGTGCACATGCATGCCAAGACAAGGAGCTTCAATGCCGTTTCTTTTCAAGGAAAAAAAAAAGGAAGAAAATATGGAGCTATTGGCAGCCGTCCATCTCGCTCGTGGTTCTACTACGTACTTCGATCAAGTGATCCGCCATGGACGACCACTGGTTGGCGCGTTCAGAAGGAAGCTGAGGCCCGCGGGGGGCACGGCGTCGACGGCCAGAACTGGGCGGGCTTGACCTTGGAGACGCTGGTGAGCACCCCCAGCGGCGTCACGTCGCCGACCACCGTCACCTTCTTGCTCGGGATGTCGATGTCGAACGACGTCACGCCCTCCATCTTGGCGAGGTGCTTCTTCACCTTGCCCGCGCACCCCTTGCAGTGCAGCGACACCCGAAGCACAACCACCTGCGTCGTCCTCGCCGCCGCCGTCGTCGAGGACGACCGCGCCAGCGCCGCCGGCTTGTGCTGCTCCTCTTCTTGGACGGCCGTGATCTCCGACGACGACGAAGCAGAGGAGGACGTCCCCGACGACGAAGACTCTGCTTGGTGCCCAGTCGACGGCGGCGCCTCCTTGACAAAGGGAACAGGCAGGGAGGCGTCGACCGGGAACGCGTCGATGAAGGACGGCGGGTTCGGCTTCCCTTCGCCACCAGGGAACGCGTCGATGAAGGACGGCGGCGGAGGCGGCGGCAGCGCGAGGACGTCGAGGTCGTCGGACTGCAGGCGGGAGGAGTTGAGGAGGAACCTGGAGGAGGTGGCCGGGCTCACCAGCCTCTTCTCTGAAGATCTACTGCCACTGATACCGGCAGCAGCAGCGGTGGTGCTCTTCTTCTTCTTCTTGCTGCCGTGGCCGTGCTGCTGCTGCTGCTTGGGGTCGTCGGAGGACGCCGAGTCTTTGGTGGTGCTACTGGTGCTTGGCCTGGGCGGCTTGGAGGCGGAGGAGCGGTGCGGGTCGCGGAGGCGCGGCGAGTGGCGGTCGATGGCCCGGCCGCTGCTGCCGACGACGGCGCCGGTGCCGGTGGAGGCGATGATGTTGGTGGCGTCGGCGGAGGTGCAGGAGATGGAGATGGTGGGCAGGCCCAGCCGCTTGTGCACGCCCTTGAGAAGCAGAGACGCCATGGAACGAAGCAAGATGGCCGGTCTCTGGGTTGGGTTGGTGGTGCTGGTGCACAATGAGATGAAATGAATGATGATTCTCTTCTTCTCCGCGAGAAAGGAGCTTTTAAACTTGGGGCTTTGGAAGGAAGTAAGGAAGCGGCCAAAGTAAAAGCCAAAACCGCTGCCAACGAGTGTGCTCTGCTTCTTGGGTTGACGTGGGGCATGTACGTGGCGCAACTGCCGGTCCACGTGTGCGTGTAGCTCCAGCATATGCATGCATTTTTTTTTAAAAAAAAGGTTATCCCGACCTCTGGGATTCATGCATTTTTTTTAAGAAAAAGGTTATCCCGGCCTCTGGGATTGATGCATGCGGCCAATTTAATAATAAGTAAACATTTCAATAAAGTTTTCCAGTCTCAAAAAGCAAAAATGCTCGCATAGAGCTAAAAACATAAAAACGGATAGCCACAACCGACAAAATAAAGATAAATAGGTGACGAAACACCTATCCTATTACATGACCGTCATACAAATCGGTTAAAAATAGCTCGCGGTACCGTCTCCTAACGGATAGACCGAGTAGCCATATACTCCCTAGCATTCATGTGAGTGAGTAGCACATATGGATAAATGCAGTGGAGCATATGCATGCATGCTCCGGTCCAGCTGGACGGTTTCGGACCGTAGTGAGTGAGTGAGTCAGTGAGTGTGCTACTGGCCACTAGCTTCACCTACCGAGTGTACCTACCAGCCGGACAAGACCAGCAGACAGAGCTGTGCATCTGCATGCATACTGCTCACTGACATCATCAGTCGGCAGATACATGTCCTGTCTGGAATCAGCCCGTTAGTCGACGATCACGTAATTACCTCGATCGATCGTGTAATCAGCAGCAGGAGGGTCTAATCTGTACTTGCCGTAAATTTTGTTGGTTAACGCGAACAAGCTCTGAAGCTGTCTGCACTAGTTTAAAGGCGACGCAGCTGAGATGGCATCCACGACGGACACGGGTATGCAGTGCATGCCATGCCTAGAGATTTGACGCTGCCAAATCGGCACATGCGCCCTGGCTCACACATACACAAAGAGAGATTCCCTAAATCAGCAGATAGATGAATTGATGCCCAAAACTAGCCGCTGCGACGGATCCCCAAAACTACCTTCAGTGTCAATGTTGTGTACTGCACATGTTCGTCTCTAACCATAAATAAACGTGTATGTATGGCATCCGATGTTCATGTTCAGATACGGCTGTTTGTATCATTGTATGTACTCTTCCGTCTTAAAATAAATGTCGTTAATTTAGTATAACTTTGAAGTTTAGTGTAGAATAATATCCGGGACTGCTTACCCTTCACTGTAAGCCTAAAAATTTAAGAAAATTGTGTGAATTGATTTCCTCATGTTCGTACGTTCCTACTCCCTCCGTTTGGAATTACTTATCGTAGAAATGGATGTATCTAGATGTAGATACATCTATTTTCGAGACAAGTAATTCCGAACGGAGGGAGTACCAAGCAATTCAAACACAATTAGCACACTGCACACGCACACAAAGCCAAAGGAAGAGGCCCTGGAATAAAGACACACGTAGAGAGACCGAGAGCGAGACATCGATTTGTGCAGCTTCGTCGGGTTACTCCTCATCGCCATCCGTCCATCGATCAAAATCGTACAGAACAAGTCAGTCAGAAGAAGAATAGGAAGAAAGGGACCCGAATATATTCGACATTTGCTACAACAGCCGCCACTCCTTCTTCCTCCGTAGTCGGCCGGGAGAAGGAGAAAAGGACCTGAGAGGAGCACGATCAACTTTCCTCGTCGTCTGCTGTAAGAAACAACTACACATGTCATCATGTCACTGTCCGCCTTTTATTTTGTTGACATTTACACACGACCAGCGAGGAAGCAACGCAACGATCGATTTGGTGCAGATCACTCTTATATATTGACCGACTCACTGCTGTTGACTGGTTTGTCTAACGCTTTTGTTTGGTGAAATGCATGCATTACAATTTGATTAGTAATACTACTGTATTATAAATTGTTGCACTACTCATTAGTCGTCACAGTAGTTGGTGTTCCGTTCATACTACTCAATTACTACTACAGCTAATCATGACTTGTATCAGGTGGCTCTGTGCATCGCTTGATGCAGAAGGCAGGGTTATCTTTCGTTTCGAAAAAAAATGATTTGTATTAGGCTCTATCAAACTTGCATTGCATGAGCTAGCATTGTTTTTAAAAACATTTCTTTTATTTAAAGGGGCCAAAAAGAAAGCTTCCATGAAACTAAGAAAAGACGCACTAAACATGTTAAGCACAGTTGGTTGGCACAATGGTCAAATTGATCCCTTAATTTGTGCAGCGCAGCTAACCAGTAGCCACTTCTTGTAGACTATGGAAGATAAGCCAATTACTGCACAAATACCTAGGCCAATAGTACTTAATTTAATTTCTGATGTAATCATGGCCGGCCGGCATCGATCCTCTTCCGGACAAAGATGCACTGAAACAATGGCACGCAGACGCAGGTGTACTGTCTCCTTAATTTCTGCATCTTTCGGAGGGTAGTATAGCCTTTCCAGATGCATATTTTCTCTCTTTCTATATCCCTTCTTCCCCGTGAATTTGCTCTACCAAAGTCAAAGTGTGCCTTCCTTCCACAGTAACATGGTGTTTACTACTCCCTCCGTAAACTAATATAAGAGCGGTTAGATTACTATTTTAGTGATCTAAACGCTCTTATATTAGTTTACAGAGGAAGTACCAATGAGTACTGATTTTTTAGAATAATATTTTAACTGCACAACGAAAACAGCCAGTAAAATCATATACATCCGAAATGTAAACTGAAATATCTTCAGCCAAATTTTTGTTACACATACTACCTATGTAACAAAATATAAGATTGTTGTTTTTTGTTTTACACAGGCATAAAAAACGTATTGTATTTTTTTACAGTGGAAGTATTAAAATTCATCATCAAATAACCTTGTTAAACAGCACATCGAGAATACGTGTGCTGTTCAGGGGACCCTTCCATTTTATAAGTATGTTAGGCACAATAAAAAGTTCTGCTATGGGAGTATCCTTGGTGCATGCAGTCCAAATTGGAGTAGTCAACTGAGAAACGGGCACGGGTGTGCAAAGCATCCTTTGAAAAACCCTGGCAAGACACGCACAAAAATCCCAGCGTGGTGTTTCTAAAAAGCAAGCTATCACTCCTATCTTTTCTCCCTCTTTTTTTCCCTTTTTCTCCCCCGTGTGTATGTATGTGCTAAGCTGCTTTGGAATATTTATTTGGAAGGAGCTAATCTCATAAAAAAAGTGTCCGATGGTAAGCTGCTTTCCTCTCGCGTGTGTATGTTTATTTGGTCCACACACACACCACGCGGCATGTATACGTTTGGTAGAGGGAGCCACAACCACAATGGGCTCCAATAGAATCTGATGCTTCCTACCGGGGACACTTTCTTTCATTGGTTTCGTCGTACAATGTGCGCATTGCTTTTCCGTTTTCTCAAAAAAATAGTGCGCATTGCTTCCTGAAATTATCTGGAGATCCTGGAGGTACCTCATTGCTTTATTTTTAATTTAACTCCCAGTTAGTTTTTGTTTTGCGGGGATCTCGTAGCTACTTATGGATTTGTCGTCTTTCACACGCATGTGGTTCCGTTCATCCGATTTGAAAAACCGACAACAACACGGCGAACAAAGAGCCCTCGTAAAACTAAGCGTTACTTCCATAGTTCCATCCAAGAAAATAGCACTAAAAGTTGCACCGTACTCCCTCCGTCCGCGAATAAGTGTACATCTAGCTTTTGTCTTAAGTCAAAGTTTTAATACTTTGACCACCTTTCTAGGAAAGAGTAAAAGCATTTATGGCACCAAATTAGTATCACTAGATTCGTTTTGAAATGTACTTTCACAATATATCAATTTGATGTCATATATGTTACTACTATTTTCTATAAAGTTGGTCAAAAATTTAAAACTTTGACTTAGAGCAAAAGCTAGATGTACACTTATTCGCGGACGGAGGGAGTACACCACCTTCCCCATCTTGACACTCATCCATTCCTAGTACCTTGTAGTACTAAGAAAAGACATGGCAGTTACTCCTATGACTGAGCTAGGTCTTGTTGTAGTACTAAGAGAAGACATGGCAGTTACTCCTGAACAATGGCACCACGTCAACGGATCAGCCCAATCGAAATCCCCATCTCAGAAGTCCCGCACAATTCAATTGTATCGCAGTTCCCAAAGGCCGACCGGCAATCATGCATCTTATTTTTATTTATTTTTGGCATGTAGGGATAACAATATTTTATTCTTGCTCATTAGTTATTGTAGTGCATGCTCTAGCTAATGCAACCAAAAGACGATCTGATGGAAGAGACTAGGCAGCACGTTATACATCAACACTCTCCCGCACGTGTTGCTCCCTCAGCCGGGTCTTGAAATCAAGACCTCTTGGCTCTGATACCATGTAGAAGTGCATGCTCTAGCCAATGCAACCAAAAAATGAATCTGATGAACGAGAGACTAGGCAGCACATTATACGTAACAGTTATTACTCTACAGAGAAAGAAGATAAGAACCTGATTTCTGGTGCCTCCACAATCAAACGAAACTACACATAGTATGTAACTACACAATAATGTTCTTGCATAATGGCAGCTTAGTCGTCGTGGTGAGGCGGTGCGCGGGAAGAGGATGGGGCGCATGCACCGGCGGCGGCGGCGACGACGATGACTTCGGGCCCGGTGGTATTGGGAAGGGCTCCTCGGGAAGTGCGGGAACCCTGCCACTTCACTTGCAATCATCCTCGTTGTCGCTCTAGCAGCGTCAACAACAACGTTGCTGCAATGGATCAGCACCACCACTATAACCGCCAGCCCAACCACCATCCTCAATGTGATTGACAATCAAGCTCTCCGCACCTTTTGCATGACTGTATGCATGCGAACAGACTCTATCGACGGGTGAGAACTACGTACACCCTCTGGCCAATTAG